ACCTGCTACTCCGCCATTTTCCTTGTTATTCTTGCAACACTATGAAGTTTGTTAGTCTGAGAAAAAGTAACTGGGCTATATTCGCTCAGTGGAGCTTTAAGGCTGGATGGAGATTTGCATCCAACTCCCCCAGTCCTCATTGGCTGCTGCACCACAGTACTTACGGTACCTGAGACCGTTCTTTCCCCTGTTTGTTTTACTATGTTTTGAAATTAATATTTTGTGCAGTGAGGGTGTGCAGTCTGCTTGCTTTTAGTATGTGGCAATCTTGTAAGAAATTTCTGTGTCTGGATTTTATCTGGATAGCACTTTAAGCTAGTTTCTGAGTGTTAATACTCTGTGATGCATTACAGGAAGACGTAGTAGCATTTGGAAGAGTGTGAGTCTGATTAGTTTATAAACTACTAAAAGTAAAGCTCTGTCACTAACAGTAATATACCTGCATGATTTGAAATTATCTGTAAGTTTTGTGTTGGAATTTGTCAGCAGAGATTACGTGTAACCCTTTGTATAAAGTTTTGCATGAATATGCTTTTAAAATTTCATTCTGAAGTTACATCATGACTGTTTGGATGTCCTCCTAATCTGGCATTGGATGGATTTGCCTTAAATTTGCAGCTATTCAGCAGAACCAATGGGTGTTTATTTGGGGCTTGTTACCATCAGAATTATTGATCGCCTTTTCTTGGTTGGTTATGAATGAGGCATACTTGATTACTAGTTTTTCAATAAACAGCTCCACAGGGGAGAGAGATGGTTCTGTAAGGTACTCGATTTGCATTTATTCTGTCAAGAAACACTTCACTACTGTGGCAGCAACCGTCACGGTACACTTTTGTCTGGTGTCTTCTATAAGTCACAGAAAAATATATCACCAAGGACAAGTGCCCCCCAATAAGGTGTATAGATAGAGAAATATAGATGCAGTCTTTTTCTCTACAATCACTTGAATTTGATAGGAGTAACATCAATTTATAAGTCAACACCCAGACATTGTTCTGGTAAACTCAGTGTTTCTTCCCACAAAGGGGCTTAATCATTGAGCTGATAAGATAGAACAAGATATATAGTCAACATCTGTTTCCGTGTGGAATGGTTACATTTCAGTGAGAATACATACATTATCTATTACCTGTACAATGAAGTCTAAGTAGTAAGCAAGCAATAGCTTAGGAAACAGGACATTATAATGAGTGAAATAAGTATTTGATCCCTTTGCAAAAGATGACTTAGTACTTGGTGGCAAAACCCTTGTTGGCAATTACAGAGGTCAGATGTTTCTTGTAGGTGACCACCAGGTTTGCACACATCTCAGGAGGTATTTTGTCCCACTCCTCTTTGCAGATCCTCTCCAAGTCAGTAAGACCGAGGGAGGTTGACAGTTATTTTGTGTTTCTTCCATTTGCGAATTATTGCACCAACTGTTGTCACCTTGTCACCAAGCTGCTTGGCAATAGGATTGTAGCCCAGTCCAGCCTTGTGCAGGTCTACAGCCTTGTCCCTGACATCCTTGGACATCTCTTTGGTCTTGGTCATGGTGGCTACTTTGGAATCTGCTGGGTTGATTGCTTCTGTCGACAGGTGTCTTTTGTACAGGTACTGTAATGAGCTGGGATTACAGGTAAGATGTCTCCCTTACAGCAGGTTCTTCTAATCTCAGCTCATTACATACAGTGAAGACACCAGGTAGCCTGACATCTGGCTGGTTGATAGGGGATCAAATACTTATTTCACTCATTATAATGCACATCCATCTCTGACTTTTGTCTTCTGGGTTTCTGGGGGTTTTCCTGTTGTTATTCTGTCTCTCACAGCTACAATAAACCTACCATTAAAATTATGGACTGATCATTTTTTGGTCAGAGGGCAAACAGGCAAATTTAGCAGCGGATCAGATACTTTCCCCCCTCACTGTATTTACAGCTTTTGAGTCACTCAGAAAAGTAGATGGCAGCTACTGCCTTTGATATGTGGTTCCATTTTTTTAGTGACCAAAATTCATAATTCCATTGTGGAAGGATTCTTGGCCAGGTGGTGGAGTCCCGTTGCTGCTATTAGTATTGGTTTTGGGGGTGCTAATGGAGGACCACCTCCCATATTCTCCAGTGTCTTTGGTTCCTTGTATCTCCCTTCCCTGGATTTTGGAGCTTAAGTGCCATTGCTCCTTTTATGTTTACTGTGCAATCCTATACACCTCTTTTTTGAAGTACCGTAATTTCTTATGAATTCAATGGAGCTTACTCCCAGGTACATGGGTGTAGTGTGGCCTGGTTTCTGGGATGAATGAGTGCGCCATTCTTTGCTCTGCATTTATTTACATTGGTAACACACTTTGTTGAGGGAGCTTTTGCTACGAAAAAACTGGGGAGAAAAACCCAGGATCAAAAACAGGTTGCTGTTTTTGAGTCTTAAAAGGGTGGTGAATTAAGTAAGCTCAGCTGCTTGTATACAGGCATCAAGCCATTGCAAGGCAGTAGTTATTGTAGAATTCCACTGTAGCTATGGCAACGTTCACTGTGCTACATTTGGAAATCCAAAATGCCACCCAGCAAGAAGAGATTAAGTTTTAGCTGGATTTTGGTGCAGTCAAAATTAGTGCAAGGCAACCTTCTACATTTGCATAGTCTTTTTATTTTTTTTATTTTGAGACATAATAACAATCATCTGTTTCTTAACAAGTCTTACAATACAACCTCAGATGAACAACAACACAGGACATATTACACTGTGTCAAGATTAATTTAACAAAAATAAAACCAAGATGGAGAAGCCATGTGTGAAAAACTAAGTACACCTTACGATTCAATAGAACCACCTTTAGCAGCAATAACTAGAAGTAATCGTTTTCTGATGACTTTATCAGTCTCTCCCATTGTGGTGGAGGATTTTTGGCCCACTCTTCTTTACACCGTTGCTTCAGTTTATTGGGTTTGCTGGCATTTGTTTATGCACGGCTCTCTGGTCTGGATTTTGACTGGGTCATTGCAAAACCTTGATTCTTTTCTTTTTCAGCCATTCTGTTGTAGATCTGCTGATGTTTTTGGGACCATTGTCCTATTGCATGACCCAATCTCAGCCAAGCTTCAGCCTTTGGGCAGATGGCCTCGAGTTTGACCCTAGAATACTTCTCTGTACAGAGGAGTTCATAGTCGGACTCAATGACTGCAAGGTTCCCAGGTCCTGTGGCTGTAGAGCGAGCCCAACTCATCACCGCTTTGTCACCCTGCTTAACAGTTGGTACGAGGTGTTTGTGCTGATATGCTGTGCTTGGTTTTGGCCAAATGTGGTGCTATGCATTTTGGCCAGACAACTCCACTTTGGTCTTGTCTGTCCAAAGGACATTGTTCCAGAAGTCTTGTAGTTTCTTCAGATGCAACTTTGCAAACCTAAGCCCTGACATGAAGAACTCCAGGCATGCCTGGAGGATGCGGACCATTTGGATCCCTTCCAATCAGAATTCAGGCCTCATCATGGGACTGAAACTGCCTTGGTCACGTTGGTTGAAGTTCTCCGGTGGGCTAGGGACAAAGGTGAAATCTGTCTCCTAGTTCTTCTGGAACTCTCAGCAGCCTTTGATACCATTGACCATGGAGTAGGTCAGTTCTGTGTCCAGGGCAGTTGTCTACCAGCTCCATCTGGTACGCAGGCTGAGACCCTACCTGCCCACAGACTGTCTTGCCAGAGTGGTGCATGCTCTAGTAACCCCCCTCTTGGACTACTGCAACGCGATCTACATGGGTCTACCTTTGAAGGTGACCCGGAAACTACAGAAGTACTGTTTTTGGGGGGTGGGGGGCAGGGGGGCAGGCAGGTTGGGGGACTCCCTGGTCCTGAATGGGGCAACTGTGCGCCTGAAGGAGCAGGTGTGCAGCCTGCGAGTCATTTTGGATTCACAGCTGTCCATGGAGGCACAGGTCAATTCTGTGTCCAGGGCAGCTGTCTACCAGCTCCATCTGGTATGCAGGCTGAGACCCTACCTGCCCGAAGACTGTCTTGCCAGAGTGGTGCATGCTCTAGTTATCTCCCACTTGGACTACTGCCATGCGCTCTATGTGGGGCTACCTTTGAAGGTGACCCAGAAACTACAACTAATCCAGAATGTGGCAGCTGGACTGGTGACTGGGAGTGGCCCCCGAGGCCATATAACGCCAGAAAGACCTACATTGGCTACCAGTTTGTTTCCGAGCACAGTTCAAAGCATTGGTGCTGATCTTTAAAGCCCTAAATGGCCTCGGCCCAGTATACCTGGAAGGAGCACCTCCACCCCCATTGTTTGGCCCAGACACTGAGGTCCAGCTCTGAGGGCCTTCTGGCGGTTCCCTCACTGCAAGAAGTGAGGTTACAGGGAACCAAGCAGAGGGCCTTCTCGGTGGCAGCATCTGCCCTGTGGAACGCCCTCCCATCAGATGACAAGGAAATGAATCTGACTTTTAGAAGACATCTGAAAGCATCCCGGTTTAGGGAAGTTTTTAATGTTTGATATTTTATCATGATTTTAATATTCTGTTGGGAGAAGGGATAAGATAAAAGTTAACTGAAAAGAGAAGGGGAGGAGAAATTACAGGTGATGAGTAACAATAGTTTGAGAGGCACTAGGGTGGGGTGGAGGAGGGTTGAAGGGAAAACATAAAATAGGCCTTCTGCTTAGAGTGTCTGGAGCAGCAGATTCTCCCTAAATTGGGAGGCCGAGTCAGCATATGTGCACAATTAATATCTGAATTTAGCTAAAAACCTGTATTTCAACCAGTGCTGCTTGATAGGCGAACAGGTGAGACTTTCTGTTTGATGCATTTATTAAAAAACCCTTTCCTGTTGCCCTGGAAAATGACTGCACAGTGGGAGTGAGATAAGGCAAAAGGAGAAATGCTGGGAGAGGTGCATAGGGTGTATATCATGATCTGTTGTGTCTTAAAATGTAAGATGATAACAAGCAGTAAAGTATGGGAGCGTGAGCACTGTATGCAAGAAACCAAATTCATTTGACATTTTTTTCTTTACAGGATTACGTTTTGAAAACAACTTGAATAGTCTACCGTCTTGCTGGATTGCATTGCTTCACAACATAGAATGTCTTTCTGATCTGGAAATTATCTGGTGGCTATGAATGTGTTTCCTCCTGAATTTACGTTCTATGTTCCATTGGAGCACTGAAGCTCTCCAGGACTCTTGTCTGCACAGAAGCTAGCCTCTTTTTCTCACACTTGTTTAAATTCTGCTAGCAATGAGTTCTCAAAGCCATCCAGGTAAGGTCAAAAATCCTTTCTATCTAGAACAAAATGTTACCACGGGAAACCAGAAGTGATAGATGATGTGAGTTTTAAGGCTACTTACACAATATGGAGCAAGATAGGAAACCTACCGTCTCTGAATTTTAATCAGGATCTTGCAAAGAACGAGGGATGTTAGACATGTAGCAGGATCTGGGACCAGGTATGAATAGAGAAGTCTAACAGGGTACTCTGGGTGAAAATGACAAATGGAAGAATTATGAAGAGTTTTAAAGTAGTGGGGGTAGATGTTGGTGGAAGCTGAAGCAGTGGGTCATTGTAGTTGTCCCTGGTAAATTGCAAGATCTGCCCTTCTGATACCAGCTTCTGCCAACCTAGCAGTTTGAAAGCATATCAGTGCAACTGTAGATAAATAGGTACTGCTGCGGCAGGAAGGTAAACAGCATTTCCATGTGCTCTGGCACTTGTGCCAGAAGTGGTTTAGTCCTGCTGGCCACATGACCCGGAAAGCTGTCTGTGGACAAACGCCGGCTCCCTTGGCCTGAAAGCGAGATGAGCGCCACAACCCCAGAGTCGCCTTTGAATGGGACTTAACTGTCCCGTTATCATTACCTTTTACCCTTGGAGAAGTATGACTAAGTGTTCTGTAAGGATTTATAAAGCTTCCACAAACAGAAACTTAGGAAGATGCCTAGAATTAAAGGAGCCGTGTCTTCAAAACTTCCTACAGGGGCTGGATAGGCTTTGTCTAGCTGACTTACAGAATCTGCTGCCCCCAAAGTATTGGGACACTGGAGTGCAACTTGTATTACAGCCTTCAGTGTGCTTCAACTGGGCCAGCTTGGTCAGCTGTTGCTCTAGCTTTGTGCATACCAGCTAGACTTGGGGTGGCATCTCATACCTCCAGCCCCTGTGCCTTCTACTTACTGTGATCTGAGGGCATGAACACTGTCTTCCCCAAAACTTTGCTTTGTGCTGATTCTGTGTACGTCGGGTCTCTTTTTACTGATGTTCCTGTTCTTTGAGCCTGTGCCAGCTTCAGTCTCTCAAGTTTCTCAGCACATCCCTCAGCTTGGGCCTTTCCAGGCTTTCATCATGTGGGTACATGCTCTTTTCAAAACCTGGACTTTTCAAAACTTGGAGTTCTGAACTCCCAATTTTTGATATAATTGCTCCTTTAATAGCTAGGAAGTTACCACATATTGACAGTTTTATGTATATCTTGGTCTGTGACATTTTTGCTAACCCCCCCCCCGTAGTGTATCTTCTGTGCTTTAATTAACACAAATTGCTGTGTGTTTAGCTACTCAATGCAGTCTTGTGGAGATGACACGTTATGATAAGATGTTGGCATGAAAGAGGCCTCTACATTTTGCCCTGCATAGATGTGACCAAGAAACACCACCCATGTAGTAGTATTGGGTTCAGAAACAGGATATAGTGATTTTTATGTGCTAATGTGCTAGCCACTAGTAATAACAGATGAAAATGTTAATAGTTCTGTGAATGCTATCATAAAATAATGAATTATTTTATTCTCTGTATTTTGATAGTGTGGAGGAGTTAATTTTCCTCCACTTACTTTGATTGCTGTGTTGCTATTTTGAACTTTAGATATCCTCAAGGGCTATTCATATACTTTTTATTTATATTGAAGTGCCATGCAGTAAAATATAATTTTCACATTTGGGAAGTAAATATAAATTAGTAGTATCTGGTTGTTTTGTCCTGAAATGAATTCAAGTTGAAGTAAAAGTTGAATTATTGCCCTTTTCTTGCTGCTTTTAAAATAACTTCAAATATTGGTGCTCTCTGTTCATTCTAATGTCAGAGGTCACCACACTGAGGGTGCCATACTTCCATTTTATCTTAACTACAAAAGCTTTTTTATTCCAGAGAAACATTATTGGAGATTGCAAGTTAATATTCTATCATAAAGGTTACGACTGATTTTTTAACTTGAAAATCTGCGGCACAAAGTATTGTGCGCCATTGAAGTATGTTTTTTTTAAAAAAAAATAATACGCTGTTTCTGTCAGTACTAAGCATCCTGAAATGCTTTCCTTACTGGACCTATACCATCATGTTTTACTTGTGGTCTTCTAATAAACCACTAGGGAGTATTATCAGTGGCATTGAGCCTCAGACTCCGTCATAGTTCCAAGGCACCATGCGTTTAAGTGAAATCACCTATATTGTAATATCTATTGTAAAAGCCTGCAAAAACCCCACTCCTGCCCTGCCCTGCCCCACCCCATTTTGTGACTTTTGGGTCACTTCTGGGTTCAGTGCGCCTGCTTGGTCATACACATATAAAGGTAAAGGGACCCCTGACCATTAGGCCCAGTCGTGGCTGACTCTGGGGATGCAGCGCTCATCTCGCTTTATTGGCCGAGGGAGCCGGCGTACAGCTTCCGGGTCATGTGGCCAGCATGACTAAGCCGCTTCTGGCGAACCAGAGCAGCGCATGGAAACGCCGTATACCTTCCCGCCGGAGCGGTACCTATTTATCTACTTGCACTTTGACGTGCTTTCGAACTGCTAGGTTGGCAGGAGCAGGGACAGAGCAATGGGAGCTCACCCTGTCGCGGGGATTCGAACCACCGACCTTCTGATCGGCAAGTCCTAGGCCAGGGGTCTGCAACCTGCGGCTCCGGAGCCGCATGTGGCTCTTTTACACCTTTGCCGTGGCTCCGGGGCAGATACTAGCGAGGGGAGGAGGCGCATTGTGCGCCCCGACACTCCCCCACTGTGGCGGGCGCTGTACTGGCTGTGACGTCACATGGGGGTGGTGCGTGCGTTAGTCATGCACCGTCCCGACGTCACCTTCCCGCCCGCCTGCCCGCTGCATTGTAAGGGGCATGTACGCTGGTCACTGCATTGAAAGGGGGCATGTATGCTGGTCACTGTTTTGAAGGGGAGTGAAGAACACACACACAAAAAAAGGTAACTTGTTAATTTAATGTTTATTTCTATGAGGAGGAGTAATTCTGAGGGGTCAAAAAAGAAATAATAAAAAAGTGACAAAAAAGTTATTTTTATAATGACGAGTTTTGCGGCTCCCAGTTTTTTTTCTTCGGAAACAGGTCCAAGTGGCTCTTTTTGTCTTAAAGGTTGCAGACCCCTGTCCTAGGCTCTGTGGTTTAACCCACAGCGCCACCCACGTCCCCATACACACATATAGGACACGCCTAAAATGGTCACTGCTTGTAGTGCATTTTAGAGTGTTATTTACCACGCTTGCTTTGGCAGCATGTATACTAAAATATAATAAAGTGTTATTTACCTTAGACTCTCACAGTGGTGCTTAAAAACAAAACAAATGTTGGAGTGAGGGGATTGAGGGACACCAAACTGGACACTCAAGGTGGGTGTCTCTGCCATCAGTTGTGGAGGCTTGTAATATGTGTTGGCAGGGGCACCAGCTACAGTAGAAGGAAGGGGCTTCAGCCCCCTCAATATTTGTAGGCAGGGAGCTGAGCCCCTCCAACAATCCCCCGCTGCCCCCAGGCAAGCACTCGAGCCCAGCCTCAGCTCTGCTCCTGAGTCAGGTCTGGCCCAGTGGAGGAGAGGCTGCGGCAGTAGCGTTGCCGGGCCACCCCCCTCGTCTGCACAGGGCTGCAGGTGCGAGGGAGCTCCTGGGTCAGGTCAGCTGGGCAGCGCCGTGAGACACAGCATTCTCGGGCAAGCGCTGGCCCGCCAGGTGGGTGCAGGAGGCGTGGAGGGCGTTTTTCACCCTCCCCGCACACTGCGGTGATCACCAGAGCGCTTTCTGGGAAGGCACTCTGGCGCTCCTCAAAGGGAGGAGGCCTGGCTGGACTGGGGTGAGGCTTGTGACGTCATGCACATGTGACGGCCTCCCTAATGTTGGGCCCAACTCAACACGCCAGTGTGTGTGCTGTTGTTAGTACGGAATCAGGAAATGGTAGTTACTCTGGATTAATTTGCCCAAAATACAATGGTATGGTTTGGGATACTTTTGATGCTTTCTTTTTGGAAATATTAATTGCTTCTGTTTTTCAAAAGGCCGCAAAATACACCTGAAATAACCAATGGGAATCAAAACAGAAGCTAAAAAAGTGGGAAAACCATATTACGCTTTTTGAATTTTATTGTGTTAACACTATATACAATTCATTTTCAGCTTTGCAGTAGCTGTAACCTAGGTTTAAGGGGCAATTTGGGAAGCAGCTTAGGTATCTGAGTTTCTCACACTGCTCACCTCCTTATTCTCGAACTCTGAGGGAAGAGTGAGGGCATTGCTGGTTGCATGGCATTTTGGAAATGTCTCGCAAGTCCAGAGCAACGGATGGTGATATTCTGCTTCTCGCCATCCACCTGCTGTGTTTGTGATGCATTTGGCTGGCCAGTTTAGGCCGGATGCTGGGCAAATTGAGGGCATGGAAGAGACCATTACTCTTCAAAAGATGTGAAGCATTTCAGGATTTGGACCGAAGACTCATAAATGATTTCTCTAACTGTGCAGAGCACCACGCCAAGAGGGTATATTCAAACCTTTACATTGCTAAGATGTGCTTCCAAACTGTGTCATCTTCACATGTTTGCTTTGGAAACTGATCTGGAAGCCTCGCTTGTAGAAAAGCAGCTGTATCTTTGGCATTTGTTAGGGATGTTTCATGGGGATAAGCATCCTTTTCATTTAATATCTCTCCCAAATTGCTGCCTCCCAATGTGCATTTGCAGTACAAAAATATTTATCAATGTTTGGGATTGTGATTTGGCTGTATAATGTCTTCCAGCCCCTGACAAACAGTTGAATTATTTTGAGTAAAGCTAGTACTTCAAACTTTTTCATAATGGCTGGTGACTTTTGTCATTCAACATGCATGGGTTGTCTGTAATATTGTGTTCTTCAGGAATCTGCTGAAGGAACAATTTCTTTACATTTTAGTGTATTGCACGTATTTCAACAAAAATGTATTACAATTTTTCACTTACTCTGTCTATCAGGCAAGTAGGCAAGTTTTTAAAAGGCATAGAGCACTGGGAAATGTTCTGGCATGAATAGAAAATGGATCTTGTTCTCTCAGACAAGGGCATCTGCTCTACATGCCTGGATGCGCTTTCCCTCACATTTAATTGCCTTTAGAAAGCCACTGTTCCAATGTCTGCTCAGCAGTTGAGCTGAAAGGCAATGAGTATCTTGGATAAAGAAAGCACACTCCTTATGTTTTGAGACAACATGCCCACCACATCCATGAATTACTATGTATTTTTATGTTGTGATCTTCGGATGAAGGGCAGTATACAAATTTAATAAATAGTAATAATAAATGAAGCCGTCACTTTCAGGACAGAGGAAGGAAAGGATAACAGAAGTAATCATGCAGTCTGGCATGGATGTGATGGAAACGAGTTCTTTGTGTGTATTGGTGGTGTTGCAAGTACAGATCTGGGGCAGGTGTACTGTTAAGTATTGCTTATAGAAAAGTAGTACTTCTTAATTATTATCAAGGCTTCTGTTTTTCCTTACTCAACCTCAGTCCCACGGAGCAGGATTCAAATGACTTCTGCTTCCACAATGGAGGCTTCCCACCTCATGTGCCCTTGAGAACACTGTATGGGGGAAGGAGGGGGGGGATTGTTCTGTCTGGGAAGCTGATATGCTTGCCTGGATGGAAGGATCAACATAGTACAATACCGTGTTTAATTCCTCACATGACTTTTTGGCTGTGTTCATAACTGTGTGGCTTTTTACATTTCTGCGTTCACAAGAGATGACCTGCTACAAGCCAGTTCTCATTGTTTTCTGTAAATGGCACCCCTCCTGCAGGACTAAATATTTGTTGCACACACACAGCAAGTCAACATGAACAAACACACATACAAAATTCTCCTGTCCTCCTGTCCAGGCAGATTAGATTGCTGGGGTTTCTGGCCTTTTGGAGGGAATGTGGTGGTGTTCACCCAGACCACATAATCCTCAGGCTTCGAGTAAAATTGATGTTCAATAGGGAATCATGCCCACAATCATGGGGGGGGGGAGTGAGTTATTATTTTTGTTTGTTACTGTGGTATGTATTTTTGTGTCTTTAAATTGTAAACCGCCCTGTGATCCTCAGATGAAGGGAGGTATCGAAATTTAATTTATAATTATAATAGAGGGGTGGTCACATCCACATCCTCTTACAGGACATATGTAGAGTGGCCTTGTGATTTCACCCCACCACATTTAATGAATTCTCCAAGGTGGATAAACATGTTTTCATAGAAAACATAAAGGAGAAGGCAAAAAGGCAGGAGAAAGCAAACAGCTTCCTCCTTTCAGTTAACCCATCCATTCAGTCTGAAAAGTGGAGAGGCTGGAACTTTAGATATCCTGAGATCGCCATTCATGTGCATCCTAGTCTTCCTTGGGATGGGGGGGGGGAGAATAAACAACTAGAAATGAATGAATGAATGAATGATGATAGATAGATAGATAGATAGATAGATAGATAGAAAATAATTTTAAAAGTAAGGTGCACTTAAAGGAGAACTGGGGAGCCCAATACAAAGACTCCTCCTCATAGTCAGGCCCTGCCTCCTACTGGTGGGAGATGACAATCCAAAATGACTGAAAATGCTCTCTCAGAGAAAAATAGGAAACTTTTGCCTGGTTATAATTTGTGATGATTTCACACTCAATCACTGCAAAATACACAGTGCTCAAAAGCAAGGTACAGAAAATCATAGAATTGTACAGTTGGAAGGGACCCAAGGGTCATCTAGTCCAACCAGCAATGCAGGAATTTTGGCTAAAGCACCCATAGCAGATGGCCACCCAATCTATGCTTTGGTGGAAGTATCCTTTGGCAGGAGGATCTTGCAACAAGTTCTGTGAATAGGGGTTCTCCTGCCCTCAGTGGACGTTGTCGGCATCCAGAGGGCCGGGAGGCCAGCTGGCTAGTCCCAGCTCGGCCGACTCCTTCCAGCCGTGCCATTGTGAAGACCATTGCCTCTGCTCTGACGTAAATCAGCGCCCCGGGCTTCTGAGCCACGGCACACTATCAGCAGATCGAACTACGCATACAGAATAGGCGTGAGGCTTGTGGAAGCATACTACAACTACAGATTTATTAATCATAAATCAGGACAAAGAAACATGTCGTCTCTCTCTCATGTCGTCTCAGAGAGAACAGGTAAAAGCAAAAGCTATACACACAACGGAAGTTCCCAGCATACTGTGTTGGAATGTAAACAGACACGTGACACGTAACAATCCCATGTCTGTTCCTTAAGGTGGAATGGAAATGTATGCTCTGCTGAAGGAGAACCAGAAAGTTCAGCTAACCATAAACAGAAAGTTTGACTTGTGAGGTTCCCTTCTATATAAGAAGCATAGCCTCTGTGAACCCCCATTTTATCCTGTCCTCTTTGCCTTTTACTTCAGTTTTCCTTGTTCTGTTCTTCCGAATTATTCTTTGTCGTTGGGAATTGTAGGTGGTTGTCGTGTAATGTTTTGTATCTTGCTGGCCAAGTCTAGCGACTGGAGGAAGGTTCCTGTCTCTTCTGGCTGGCCACTAGCAGAGTTCTTTTTTCTTTAGTGGGTCATTGAAGCCATTAGTAACTTGAGATAGTCAAATCAAAGAGAGCACAGCATAATAGCTACTGAATAAGAACTATTCTGACATTTTACCTCACAGTTGCCAAATTTATCTCTCAATGTTCTATGACCTGCACTGTTCTAGTCTGCACTGTACACTCCTGACCTTTACAACTGTTCTGTTGGCCAATGACTGTAGAAAGAGAAATGTGATTTGCATTCAGAATGTTGTATATTGCTGACTTTTTCTCTACTTTTTTTAGTCGGGGAGTATCATTTTCAGCTACAATGATATAACGAGTTATTCCTCTCTAGTTAGACCCAGTGTGTTGTTTTTCTTTACTAAATTACAGTGGTGCCTCGCAAGACGAAATTAATTCGTTCCGCGAGTTTTGTCGTCTTGCGATTTCTTTCGTCTTGCGAAGCACGGTGTCGGGAAAGTTTTGGAAAAGCTTCAAAAATCACCAAAGTCTTAAAAAACCTCAAAAAAGGCTACCACACCGCGTTCTATGAGTTGCTCCTCGAAGTCAAGTCGCAACTGTATTAACGGTGTTAAGAAAAAGGAAACAAACTTGCAAGATGTTTCCGTCTTGCGAAGCAAGCCCATAGGGAAAATCGTCTTGCGAAGCAGCTCAAAAAACAAAAAACCCTTTCGTCTTGCGGGTTTTTTGTCTTGCGAGGCATTCGTCTTGCGAGGTACCACTGTATATGTGAGATGTGGTAAAATGGGGTTCTGAACTGGTGCTTCAAGGTTATCATTGTGAAGCTCAGTACAAGACAGATGTATTCCTGGTCAGGAGGGAGGGAGACTGGATTAGGAGTTGAAGGGGGTTGTACTCAACTTGAAAAATCAGGTTTGCTGCTTAGGGGTGCTGCTAGATTCAGCTTTATATCTGGATGATCAGATAGTGGTAGCAGCTGGAAATGACTTTCCGTTCCTGAGGAAATCGCGTATGGCTATGGCCACACATTGTAGGTGGGAACTTCTGGCCTGTGGGCCAGTCTGGGCCCACTGGGGGGGGGGAGTCCAATTTGGCCTGTAAAGCCATTCCTCCAAACCATGCCCACCTGCCCACCTGCTTATGCTACTAGTGATGCCAGCTGATGGGCAGGACCTTCTTGGAAAGCCGCCTTTACACTGATCTCTTCAGCATCCCGAAAAGATCAGCATGACGTGGGTCAATGGCGCAGTGTGTGTGGGAGCTGTGAGGACTGTGGCCGCAGGCATATTTTTTTTGAGGGGGCATGACCAGGTGCCTCCAACAACAGGCTCCCTCATTGGCCCAACGCTGCCAGCTGCAGCTCTACTCCTGTGTCCAGCCTGACCCCCCGGGGGCAGAGAGAGGAGAGTTGCAGCAGTGCTGCCCTCCACTTTTCTCAGCTGTGGTGGCCGGCCGTGGCAGCTCCTGACCCAGGGGCACAGTGGGCTCCCTTCACAGTGGCCTAGAAAAATTATAATCAGGAAAGTGCTTTGACAGCATGAATTTCTGTTTATACCATTTAAAGTAAACCTTTCTTAAAACATTGTCTTCTTGAAATCTCAGTTGTGTGTTGAAAAACTTATTTTGTCTTTTTTTACAATTGAATTTAATTTAATTCCTATATTGGACTGTTTAATATACAATAAGGATTTATAAGAAATATATATCTTTATTATAATATAATAATTCTTATAATACAATCCGTATTTTGTATTATAACAGCAGTGAAAAGCCCCCAAACAATTCCAGATTGTAGTTTCATTTCATGCACTTAATAAAAAGGAACCCAAAATTCTCAGAATTGTTCATTACTTTGTGCAGTGTGTTTTTATTACCGGTAACTCTATAATAGCTTCTTTTGCAACTTGTTATTAAGTATGAACTTAATAAAGTTTCTACAAATCATTTACCAATAACTTAACCAAACTGTTAGAATGATCAATTTGTATTGTATTAGGTATCATAGGCTACAACAGTTGCTTACAATTTAAATGTAAGGTACAAAATGCCAGTAATATAAACACACTGTGTAAAAACAACCATGTTCTTACATAAAATTTAGTTCAATACAGTTGAATACTGAAACAAAATATATTGTACCGTAAATTGTACTTATACCTGAAAACTATATATATATATTTTGAGAATCGTAGCTCAGTTTCTTTGCCTCTATTTTTTCATCAGGTCATGTCTTCAGACCCTCTGGTGAACTTTAACCTGCTGGAGCTACTAACACTAGGTGGGTTTCTCTCTTTTTTTTCAGATGGACTTTCTGGCAGGGACCAGCCAGTAGAATTGTTAAATCCAGCCAGAGTAAACCATATGCCAAGTTCTGGTAAGAGATAAAGCTGTTTAATATTATGCCATATGTGAGAAGTATATGGTACATAACATTCTGTAAGGGGTGGGAGATCTGTAACTTGATACTTTTGGAATCATTTGGAGCATAGATTATTTGTAATATTTAATGTCAACTATGGAAAAATAATACTTAACAATGGAAACGGGAAGGATATTGAAGGAAGTAAACAAAGCAAAGCTGAGGCCAAATAGTTTTACTAATTTTTATATCAACCTTTGAGTTTTATGTTGATGCCTCATCTGTGTAAATATGGTCTGTTAGGGCTGATTTCTTTATATGCCTGTCCCTGGGTTTATGAAATGGTGATTATTCTTTGGAATGAGTAGATATGACAGAAATTACCTTTTTTTGGATAAAGGTTAACTATCCATTATAGGTGATATTAAGTTATATAATATCATTAGATCTATTTGTGGTGTTAGGTTATTTGAATAACATGGTAAAGAAAGAATATTATGAGCTAGAATGGAATAGATATGGGTTAGATATTAATTGCAGAATTTATTCAAGCTAATTAAAATAGTATTGAGATAATGTTTGTATTTATAATCTTGGCCTATGCTGCAGTTGTTATATATATGTTATCATTGTAATCTGCTTGATTATATGTGATGCTATTGATTGGTACTAACCTATAATTAATTTGTATAGGAAAATAGGATGGAATGATATTTGGTAACTAAAAGGATGGCCTGGTTTTTGAATATTGAGTTGATTGTATAAATATTATCAATCTCCATCACTCTGTCACATGCACACACATATACAACTCTCATACTCGGTATACAGATTTATTGAACAATTCTTTGTGTTTGCACATCTGTGGGGAAAGGAAGCATAATTACATATGTATGTTAAGGGGAATTTTGTATGTATGTTAAGTTGCTAATGTGTATGACAAGTGGTCGCTGCAAATTCTCCTTGCCTTATAGAGAATGTGTTCATAACCCGGGGAATTGTGTACATCTCCTGGTCATTATTTTCTGGTCATTTCCTGGTCTTCATCAGGCATTGGGGAATGTGCATATATTGACTAACTTTTCTGCATTCTCCAGCCATTATTAATAATCTCCCACAGGCCTTGGAAATGTACATACCTTGACTGCATTCCATTGGTTCTCCAGGTAGTATGCACATATTCTGATCTGTACACGTAGTCTCCAAGATACATGACATTTTTTTTCTATTTCTCATTCAGAAGTGTGCAGTCCACCCCACTCCCCTGGCCAACACTGGCCCACTGTTTAATGTTACATGGCCCACAAAATACCCTCCCACTAATCCACAGGAAATGGGGGGGGGGCTCCAGATACAAATTAATTTATTTTCGTAGTCCAGCCTCGTTTTCATTATGCTTACCTGTTCCCCAGTCAACTAAGCAGCAAAAGAGGAATTGCAGAGAGGGAAATGGTAGACCTTTCCTCCCACTCTCACAACTCTAATGGAAATTCTCACCACTCCTGCCACTGCTGTTAGCTTAGGAAAAAGGTCAATAGCAGCATAGGGTCAATCATAATGAGAATCACATGGTGGGGGGGAGAGATTTAACCAGATTAGGAAAGGTTACTCAGAAGGGAGAAGAGGGCTAAGAAGAGGAATCCACAACTGGGGTAACACCACTGAGAACGCTCAGCTGGAATCCTTATGCCCTCCCCAATCTCCCTGTGCAAGTCACCCTCCAAGTCAATTTGAGTTCTGAAAGCCGGCCGTAAGGGATCTAGATAGGGAGAGGCAACCTAGGACCTTCCAGATATTCTGGAGCACAATTCCCATCATCATGGCCAAAGGTTAGCAATGATGGAAGTTGTAGTCCAGAACATATGGAAGGCAGTATATTGCTTACCACTGCTCTACATAATCAATTCATGGAACTAGCTAGAATTGATATGCCTCTCCATGTTTTTAAATGTTGTCCCCAAAGGGCACATTTGATACTATTTTGTGTCTGGTATTGGCGGATGGGCAGTAGTACATACCGAGTAGCCAAAGAAGGAAAAGATAAGCTTTGGGTCAGGAACATCTCCCCACCTGAACACTGTTACTTTAAAGGCCTTTGTGGCCTGATGCCTGTTCTGGCTTTACCCTTCATTTACTGTGTGCCAATAGCTGAGAGCCTTCTCTAGCTTTATTATAAAGCACACTCTGGTTTGTTTCACAGCAAGTCATTGCTAAACCATGGGTTATGAAGCTTGTATAATCAAGCATCCAGTTTGTTTTTAAAGTGTGATCTAAGAGGTTGTGGAAATTGAATGAAATTCCAGAAGTCACTTTCCCAGTTGTGCAGCAAAAGAAGGGGGAGCAAACAAGCCTGAGGCTTTGCTCAGGTTCATTCTAAACTGCGTGTCGTGCTAAACAGTGATTTATATTTATTCATGAACCAGCTGTTGGTTGTGCTTTGGGCTTTTGGATTCCTCTTTGTGTGTGGCTGGAGGTAGTGTGGGAGTGATAAACTGGTTAATGTTCACCAGGCTTTGCTTAAAAGAAGCAACTTCAAACCATTCCATTCATTGTAGTTAATTTTAAGCACAGTTCTGGGTCTGGATGGCATGGCAAGCTGTGGTTAACCAAAACTGAAAGCAAAAGCTTCCGAAAGGATCCTGACTTGGGTGAGGGAATGTGGAAGCCTAAGGGTTGCTGAGGCTCATTCCTGTTCATTCATTGTGCTAAACCACATTTTTGCATGACATGTGAATGAAGCATAGTGCTCCCAGTCTTGTAACCCTGATTGGAAGTGTTGTAAACAAAAATCTGCCCTTTTTCCCTTATGGGGTATCCAAGAGCCCATATAGAGTCCTTACGTGGGTTCCCTATTGGTAGGAGAAAATAACAGAGGCCAACCAGAGAATATTGAGAAGCAAAGCAGCTAATAAGCTTGATCTTTATTGATCTGTTGCAACAGGATGCTCCCCTCACCCGCAGGAGAGGAGGAGGAACCCAGAAAAATGGCGCGCAAGGCCTTATAAAGACTTTTGAAATTCCACCCTGTAGATCAAGACCACCCCCCAGAAACATTATACATACATCACAGAAGGGGTGTAATCTAAGACTACCCCCCAGATACATCACACCTACATCACAAAAAAGGTGGTCTAAAACAGAAATTTTGAATGTTGTTTTTCTCCTGTGGTTGTTTATCTCCTGTCTGGCAGGTTACTTGATTGGATTGCCTGGGGAGCCTGGCCATTCTTTTGTAGTGATAAATACTTAGTTCCTGGGCTCACACCCTATTCAAACACAGACATACCCTTAAGACAGGATTTGTGAAGGAAAAGACAATGGGGAGGCTTTTCCATTTTCCTTTGACCTTGCAGAGAAAACATTTGGTCAGTTTGGGACAGTTTGGGAATCAAAATGGTTCCAGGTCAGGCTTCCTGTGCTGATCTATGTACGTGCTTGGTTGGTACACTTATGAACATTTAACATACAGTGGTACCTCGCAAGACGAATGCCTCGCAAGACGGAAAACTGGCAAGACGAAAGGGTTTTTGGTTTTTTGAGTTGCTTCGCAAGATGATTTTCCCTATGGGCTTGCTTCGCAAGACGGAAACGTCTTGCAAGTTTGTTTCCTTTTTCTTAACACCGTTAATACAGTTGCGACTTGACTTCGAGGAGCAACTCATAGCACGCGGTGTGGTAGCCTTTTTTGAGGTTTTTGAAGACTTTGGTGATTTTTGAAGCTTTTCCAAAACTTTTCCGAAACCGTGCTTCGCAAGACGAAAAAAACCGCAAGACAAAAAAACTCGCGGAACGAATTAATTTCGTCTTGTGAGGCACCACTGTATATCTATGACGCTGGAAGATGAGCCCCTCAGGTCGGAAGGGGTCCAACATGCTACTGAGGAAGAGCGGAGGACAAGTACAAGTAGATTCAGAGCTGATGAAGCGGCTGGGCCAAAGCCGAAAGGACGCTCAGTTGCGGATATGCCTGGGAGCGAAAGGAAAGTCCAATGCTGTAAAGAAAAATATTGCATAGGAACCTGGAATGTAAGAACCATGAACCTTGGTAAGTTGGATGTGGTCAAAAATGAGATGGCAAGAATAAATATTGACATCCTGGGCATCAGTGAACTAAAATGGATGGGAATGGGCGAATTCAGTTGGGATGACCATCACATCTACTACTGTGGGCAAGAATCCCGTAAAAGAAATGGAGTGGCCCTCATAGTCAACAAAAGAGTGGCAAAAGCTGTACTGGGATGCAAACTCAAAAATGATAGAATGATCTCGATACGAATCTAAGGCAGACCTTTTAACATCTCAGTAATCCAAGTTTATTCACCAACCACTGGTGCTGAAGAAACTGAAATTGACCAATTCTATGAAGACTTACAACACCTTATAGAAATGACACCAAAGAAGGATGTTCTTCTCATTATAGGGGATTGGAATGCTAAAGTAGGGAGTCAAGAGATAAAAGGAACAACTGGCAAGTTTGGCCTTGGAGTTCAAAACGAAGCAGGGCAAAGGCTAATAGAGTTTTGTCAAGAGAACAAGCTGGTCATCACAAACACTCTTTTCCAACAACACAAGAGACGACTCTACACATGGACATCACCAGATGGGCAGCATCGAAATCAGATTGATTATATTCTCTGCAGCCAAAGATGGAGAAGCTCTATACAGTCAGCAAAAACAAGACCTGGAGCTGACTGTGGCTCAGATCATCAGCTTCTTATAGCAAAATTCAAGCTTAAACTGAAGAAAGTAGGAAAAACCACTGGGCCGGTAAGATACAATCTAAGTCAAATCCCTTATGAATACACAGTGGAAGTGAAGAACAGGTTTAAGGATTTAGATTTGGTGGACAGAGTGCCTGAAGAACTATGGATGGAGGCTCGTAACATTATACAAGAGGCAGCAACTAAAACCATCCCAATGAAAAGGAAATGCAAGAAAGCAAAGTGGCTGTCCAACGAGGCCCTACAAATAGTGGAGGAGAGAAGGCAAGCAAAATGCGAGGGAGATAGTGTAAG